AAACTATATTATGTGTATGCATGATAAGATTTTCTTTTATACGCTTCTTACACGCACATTCTAAAAGTGCATATAACCTTATCACACCCAAAAATACTATAAATTTCAAGTTCACTAGGAACAAACGCAAGTTGTTTTGAACACTCACAAACATATTAATTGAATCAATTTTATAATATGTACATATATGCATCATACAAAAATTTTCGGTACTATTCGGTTTCGAGGGCCGTAAAAAATCGCCACACTATTGTTGATAAATTTTCTGTAATGCACTTCTTATATACTAAAAGCGCATATAATATCACATCGTACCAAAAAAAAAAAAAAAAAAAAAAAGGTATAAATCTTAATAGTTTCTTAACCGATTCACAAGAAACTTGTTTCAAAACGTTATAAAAGATGATCATGTAATTTGAGCGACTACTTTGAGCAATAACGCATTTCACTAACACGTGCTCGCCTGTGTATAAATAAATATCTCTACAGTAGAATTGTAAACTTCAAATTATACAATTCTTTGCACAAAATTTCCAGTAAAAATAATAATATACCCATCATATAATAGTAAAATACCATCCCATTTCTTGTACTTCAGGCGCCAAAAAAACATATTAAAAGAACGCAAGCCAGACAAATATATAAGAACAACGTTTAGGAGTTTCTGAAACACAAAGTGTTAGGAATATTTCTATGAATTGGATTTCGAGATGAAAAAAAAAAAAAAAGTTGTTGAAAAAAAAAGTATTATTACACATGCATAAAATCATACCAATTATCCAATTACCTAAACAGTAGTAAGAATATAAAAATCTCGAAATAGAAAATGCTATCTATCTATCTATCTATATATAATAAAATACCTACATGGAAAAATTTGTACAAGCCGCTATATCCACAACTCCGAGGAAAATGCTAAACTAACTTGGATGTTGCTGGTATACAAGATTATAAGCAGTACATGTTTTTTTTTTTTTTTTTTTTTTTTTCTTTAAGCAAATTCAAGAATATCAAATAATAACTCGAATGCCGCGCATTTGCATTACACGAACTGCTATTTTCAGACTATAGCACACAGCGACTGTACTAACTCTGGGGGTATATTAACTGAGTAATGAAGGTGTTCGTTTCATGGCTCTCAAGTAACTACATAATAACCGTATTCTTTGAACTGCTATCACTACTAAGTTGTACTTACACAGAATTCTTCAGCTACTACTGCCTATATCTGCTATCCAGAAATGTCATATACATAAGAAATGACTACATAAGAATTGCTATTTTCTATCTGCTACGCTATGCTTGCTCAAGATGCTCACCTAGTTCACTCTTTGCACACACGGTAGGCCGATGTCCAGGAACCTGACAAAGTGACTTCGTCACCTAATCTGAATTGTTATTTTCCTTAGATATTCAAAACGTTCCTCTGAGAACCACATAAAAAATAAAAAAAGTCAATTGCCCAAAAGTTTATTTTATTGGATACATCTCAAATTACGTAACATGAAATTTTTAGCGTTTGCTACAAGAACACTTTTTTTTATCGTTAGCCTTCAATCCTTAGAAAAAAAAAAAAAAAAAGAGGGGGAGGAATCCGGATACACGATAAAATTTATTAGCCATTTCTGCAGAGATATCAAGACAGCTCAGTAAATACAATCTTTTGCAGATGCAATATTATTTATATTTTAAAACGGGTGTTGATTACAATTCTCTTCTTACTTTTGGCATTTATAAATGTTCCTACTCTAGTTCTTCGGTAATTTATTTATTTTTCGCTAACAGCATTTCTATCACCGAGAACCGTTAAATTAGGATTCATGTCAGATAATATGTTTTTTTTTTTTTTTTTTTTTTTTAACTACAAAACAAAAATGAATCCTATAACCTTTACTTTGAGAATATGCATTTTAAGTAACGTAAGTAATCCAATAATTTTAATGTATTGTTAGCAAAAACACGATAATGGAAAAACTAGATAAAATTACCACATGACGGAACCACATTCCTTGAACGGAATATTAAATTATACGCATTTTTTCTTGCATTTCATTTAAACTTATTGGATTGAATTAAATCTACTTCGTCGATAGCACAAAAACCACAAAATAAATGCACTCTTTAAAATTCACTATATTTGTTTACCATAGCGACACTCTGGCACTAGGTTCACTTAACAGCGTTATATTTCGTTCATATTATAACTCAGAATGCACAAAATTTATATCATTTGAAGAATTGTCTAATCGTTGCCACATGTTCTATTCAAACGCTATAATAAATCTAAAACGATGTATAAACAAAACAAAAAAGAAACAGTTTTTTACGGACGATTCAGGATTTCCCATTCAATTAATTCAGTTCTAATTTCCCAACAAGGGAAAGATACATAAAAACTCAAAATATCTATATTAAAAATTACGAAGTAAATCTTAAAAACTTATTTCCTCGAATAAATTCCAGAATGGATTAAACATGATTTAATTCGCAATAATAAAAGAAGGCCTTATTTTTGTTGTTGTGAAGCTTAGCTTCTTTAAATTGGCAACAAATCCGCTATTTTGCGAAGTTTGAAATGCAAACAAACATGTCCACAAACGCAAAATTAATTAGGCTTAGCCGCACTTAAACAAATTTTAAATTGTTGATAACTCTACAAATATTGCATGCAGATTTACCGGAAGATAAGAACAACATAATTTAATCATTTTTAAAGCAAAAAAATGCACAACTTACAAACATATAAAAGTAAAGAAACTGAATACATACATTTATATACATTTGGTAGGGCCAATTACACTAATTACAACCAAAATACAAGGTGCACATCTACATGTTATAGTTGTCCTATATACAAAAGTTCAACATTCTGAGGCTACTCGTTTTTGAGTTATGCGAGGTACGTATGGACAGACGCCACGAAAAATTCTCTTCGGAATTCATTTTAAATCAGTTTTATAATTCTTTGGGTGGAAAAGAGTCCTTTATTCTGTCCTTACGTACAGATGTCAAGCAAAAACATCATTAAATTTATTCAATAGCGGTCAAAATGGATATTTTTTTTGAAAGATGCCGCCTGAAAATTTTCGCGATTACAATACTTCCTCTTTACTTCGTACAAGGAAGTAAAAACGGCGATTACCTGCAAGCTAAAAAAGAAAATACAAAAGTGTTTTGAAAAAGAAAAGATAAAGCAGCATGTTTTGATACGAGCGTCTTACTTTTAATTCAAAAATACTATACGAATGTTGCTATTAATATAACGAAAAAACAAATGTTTATGATGGAAACTGGTTTTATTATATTTTAATATATTCTCTACGAAGATCAATACACTTTTGCATGCGTTTGAACCAATTTTCGAAGGAGTTTTTCCACTTCAATTGAGGTAACTCCAAAACATACATTTTAATTGCCTCAACCACTTCTATGGGTATCGAAAATCACTGACCATATAATTATTTTTGATGTGCAAGAATAAAAAACAGTCATGGGGTGCCAAATCAGGGCTGTACGATGGATGACCCATCAAGTTGATGTTTTGGTCCGACAAAAATTTCTTTGTTTGAGGATTAAAGAAGTACACAACATTTGGCACAAGTTTTATATCCTTTCTGTTTGATGCATTCCATATTTACAGATACTTAGTTTGACTTGGTCAAGTCTTCTTTCAGCTCTTCTATAACATATAAAACTATTGCCACACACTTAGTTTATCACAATGAGATTTAGATTAAAAAAGTTTAGAAATTAGTTTTGATGAACAAGAATCGAATTGAAACTTAGGCTATGGTTTGCTGTGTGCTAAGCAAAGGTCGCTTCTTTCCCTGGCTAAGTTTTTGTCATTAGAACTCGCAATCTTAAAAAAATACTGGTCAGTTTTGATGAGCAAGTAGCACATGTTAAACTCTTTTTGTGTTTACTCGACTGCAAATGATCTTTTATATCAGATCGCTCACCATCAGCAATCAAAAACTCAGAATTACAATGTGAACACTTAACTCTTATCTTCTTGATCTTGATTACCAATGCCAGTACATACCTTCTTCGAAACAGGGAATTCATTCTTAAAATCCTTGGTGAATTTACACGACCGTTTTGGCATTTTAACAGAGTTCGCAGAAATTTTAACTTAAAACATAAATAAAACAGCGCTAGCTCCCTAACACAACAGGCACCGCCGACAGAGACTGACAATTGACTGATCTCTCTCTATCGCAAGCACTGAGGTGGACGAAGGTTGTAGCGTGCAGGGAAATCTCTTCTGGCGCTAAAGCTAAGACCCTTACTGCCCAATACTGGACTCACTCGGCGAGTCTCTTGCATCGCACTATTTTGTGCGATATTTACTATATATTGTCTCGCACACAGCAAGATATAGATATTCACTATATATTGTCTAGCACACAGCGAGACAAGACAATACGATGACAATATTATTCATTAGCAGACCATCATTCTTCTATAGTTTTCATTTTTCATACAGTACAAAAATAAATAGCAAAGTAATTACCTTAAATGATTCTTCACAGTTAATTATTTTTAGACTTTTTTGGTCATCTATAAAATCAAATTTAATTTTTTCGGGATGAGAAGTAAACTGGCTGGGACACTGGGATTTTGTCTGAAAACCAGGACGTCTGGCAAGCATACCTATAACTAACCTCATTTCTAATACAACAATAAGTAGATTTTCAGTATTAGTGTCAACATTCATGTAATTATTCGATTTTCAGTAGTTGCACAATATTACTAGGATGCAGAATTGCTGAACCACAGATTTCCCATATTTTTCTGAGTCGGAAATATAAAACTCAAACTAACTTCACTTTAATAATTTTTTCCTCTTATCAAAATCATACACATGTACAAGTAAGTGTTACTACTTCATGAACTGTATTTTGGGTGCATATTACAGTGTGGAAATGAAAAAGAATTTATGATTCAGTCCTTTAGAAAAAAGGGCAATTATTAATAAATAATAAAAAAAACTCAAATAAACAATCACATTAATTTTTTATTTTTTATTTTTAAAATCATATCATAAGCTACAAAGATACAGTGACATACATTATTACAAAAATATAATGCTACTGCAGAAGGAAGTCAGCTGTTACAAAATGAAAGCAGAAGAATTCACATAACAAACAATTTTTAAATGAAACTCTTCTAGAAGTTTATTTAGAATCTTTATCGAAGAAAGTTCACTTGATGTCTCCTTGTGGTGTACTGAACTATGAAAATCCAGCAGTCTATAGAATGTCTCCTGTTATATTTTAAAAAGGTCTCGATTCAGTTTTTTTTTTTTTTAATTATTTTTTATTTTTCTTTCTGTTCTCATGTAGAGAGTAAATACAAGTCATCTTTCTTCTTGGGAATACAGCCTTTGCATGTTTAGCTAAAATCAATTAAACAAATCAATCAGTACACCAAACAGAAATTCACATAAACAGAAAACAAGCACCTTCATTTGTTTCAAGTACATGACACAAGAAAAAACATTATGAAGAAGCAAAATCACTGACATTTAATTATCTGTGAGAGTTACATATATATGACTGCATTTTTGTACACTAATCAGATGATTAGTATGCAGAATATAAGCATGATTTTTAAGATATCACATGTCTAGTAATATTTTATGACTGATTTCATTAACAGCAAACCATACTCATGAACACCTGCAATGGTATCATAGCACAGTGGTATACAGAGTGAAATGATATTCAGCGATATAACTCATTTCTGTCTCACAAATGATTATGATGTGCAACAGCAACATTTTCTTTAACTCTCATTTCAGGAATGAGAAGAGATATTCAATCATATTTCACAAATGTTCATTTTGTGACAGACCAGGTGATTGTGAGAGAAATATTATTACCTGTATTACTATATCTTCAAGGGATCCCGAGACCATTTTTCAACAGGATAACATCAGGCCACAAATTGTTCAACTGACCATAAACACATTTCTAGGTATACAAGCAATACCTTAGCAAGCACTTTCATCTGATGTCTCACAAAACAAACATTTATGGAATATGATTGAATACCTCCACTCCTTCCTGAAATGAGAGATGAACTGCGGAGTTCTCAATAATGTGATTCCACAGATACCGCAGGATATTATTCAGGGACTCATTAAATGCAATATGTATTTGACTATTTAATTAAGAACAAAGCCTGGTCTTTATCAAATAAGTTATTCATGGATGGTGTGGTTATTTTCTCTGTCCTACATTGTATTTTATCACATGCTAAAGTAAATAAGATAACATGCTCACAAGTTTTATTTTAAACTCATACTTTTTTACTTGCAGCCATTTAAATGAGGAATAAGTGAAAATATGAAAATGAGCTGTTATTTAATTTATTTAAAAATAAAACTTAATTATGCTTCAGAAAACTGTAAATAGTTCTAGACAGCTATAGTACTTTTTCTCACACATTGTTGTTGTACATAAATTTATTTGCATTTATAAATTTATAGCAACTTATTTAAAAATAGAAATCCTCAGAACAAAATAAAACAAAAATTAAAGTAATTTACAAACTCATGATATGGATATTTATTAATCATTTATTAAACTATGATTTAGATGTAGTAAAAAATTATATTACATTCATATCTTTTACATAAAATTTAAATGAAAACAAAAATTTCAAAATGATGCAAATGCTATTATTCATCAATACTTGATACAGTCATACTGATAAAATATTGGAAAGACAATTTTCTGGAACCAATAAGATCCAGAATAACAATTTATCAAAGTCTCCACCTTATTTTTTTTTCTTCTTTTTTAATTGAAAATAAGTAGAAATAAGCCTAGGGAATTAGCTGATAAATTAACATTGTAAAAATACAGAAAAAAAAATAAGGAAGGGGGAAAATAGTGAAGATATATATTAATAAAAAACACTTCATTTTATATTTATATTTAGAAATTTCCCATGAAATAAATAAGATATTTTTATTGTCAAAAAAAATCTCTTAAACTAGTAGGCTGTTCAAGTACTTCAGATGATTTAACTGCTTGACTTCCCCCAACCCTGTCCAATAAAGAACAGTTTTGTCTCTCAGTGCTTCCTTTCCCTTTCATCTATAAACAAATGACTGATTTATGGGGTTTTGGCATCCAGGGTTAAAAGAATCAAGCCGTTATTCCAGTAATTTATTTCAGATGACATGAAGTAACACACAAAACATTCTAGAATAAACAGCAAAAGGACATATTTATTAGCTCTTTGTACTTATAGCCTTGAATTATTGATCTTTTTCTAACGGATTTTCTACTATGCTTATTTACTGTTGAGTATGTAACATTTACAAGGTTTTAGTATAAAAGGAATACAATCAAGACTTTTATCAAACCTTTGGGGGGGAATAAATAAGCTTTAACATAGGCATGAAAAAATCCCTTTTCATGGTTTGATTTAAAAGAAAAAAAAAAAAAAAAAAATTTATTTCATTATAACATTTATTCCAGTTCAGCAGTATTTAAAATTCAGGGGACATTAAATTAAATATTAGTTTTACTTTTAATTGCATTAAATTATATATTTAAAGCTTATGGATACTGTGCAGTGAAATATCAGTTAAAATAAATCATGTAAATCTTTGTGTGCTCAAATATATGTGTTATTACAGAATGTAGACTTTAAAATATGCGAAAAAAAACAGGGCAGTTTTACTGCACATTGAAATTCGGAGTGAAAATAATCAGAAAGTACCACTCAAAGTATGTTAACACATAAACCCTTTGGAATGGGACATGCAGGACTATGAAGCATATCTTAATACAAAAGGCTCCTAAAGCACATGGTAAGTGGGTTCCTCTTCATATAAATAGGTCAGTAAAAATAACAGCAACTATACAACACAAAAATTTAAATAACCATATTATTACTATGCTGTCTATATTGGCAATAGGTCATAAGGAACTAATTTTTCCTTGATTCTTTTAAACAAAATTAATTTCATTTTGCATTAATTAAAGTATTCTTGCAATATATGAAAGAATTAAAGTCCTAAAACAATTAAGTATTAAGTAAAATTACTTGTACACAAAGTATTAAGTAAATTCCTAACACAAGACAACATAACAAAGCATGCTAACAAAGATACTTTATGACAATATACTAAGCAGCTATCAGAATCATAATCCTATGATCTCAAATTGCTAGTCTCAGTGCATGTTTTGGGAAAACATATTTTCAAAAGAAATAATCACAGAAGATAAATGTAAAATGTGCATTCTGATTTTTTTTAACAGCAAAATACTATACTCATCAATCCAAAGTGGAATATTATACTAATTAGAGAACAATTAATGATACACAAATTAAGATGTAAAGTCTGATAGTCTGGCATTAAATTGTTTTGCACATAAGATAATCTGGCACCTCTTTCACCTACATTCCTGCAGTAAAACGGTGCTACTATCATTTCATTGAGTAATACGGTCAAACCTTGCCATAGCAAAAATGGTTTACAACAATCACCAGATATAATGAACAAACTTTTTGGTTCCATCCAATTTCCTTTACACTGAAATGTTATTTCAACATCTATAAAGAATTTCCAAATGGATAAAAATTGGATATAATAAACTTTGTGAATATCTTGAGCTGAATCTTCTTTTTAATATATTTCTCATATTTTTTCCACAACATCTGTGATTTTCAACAGAAAAATTAAATAAATGTGTTAAAAATTCCTCCATATGCAGATCTGTAAACACAGAGAATTTTGTATTGAAGATAAGATGAGATGAGCAGTATTCGAAAAATACAAAAACAGATGTAGCCCCACCAATATCCGCCAAGAAGACAGCTTACGAAGTGGGAAAAAAATCAACATAGTTTCTAGACAAGGAAAATATTTCAATATAAAAAGAAATTACAGAAATTACATTAAAGCATAATGCTTGACCTTTCTGTAATTTCTATAAGGCTGATGTATTTGTGAAACATTTAAACAGATTGCTTCTTTGTGGTGAAATGGCTTATTCAAGAAGCATAACAATATATTGTTAAAAAATATTGTGTGGAAATTTAAGCAGTATTTCAAAACAGATGTCAAGAAAAAGAAATCAAGATTGGAATGATATTTCTTTCCAATACCAAGAAAGATGTCTTTAACATGAATAAAACAGGGCATTCTACAAGATGTTGCAAAACCGGATGTCAAAATTTAAAGTCTATAGATAGACTGTTTGAAAAGTGTCAAGTATGCAAATCATAGTTTTTGGATCTGCTAATACAGTCAAAAGTCGTTAATTCGGACACCCATAATCCGGAATGATCTATAATCCGTACCTCAAAGGCTACAAACTTTCTGCGCATGCGTCGCATTCACGCATGCGCACAGGCGTTTAAGAGTGCGCGTAAGACATTTACGGCTGCGAATATGTTTGTGCGCATGCGCGTTTAATGTGTAATGGAGGTATTAGCTAAGCTAAAATTATCTAATTCAGTTAATGTTGCAGATTGCGTTGTTCCTTAATCTTCGAATTGGATCCGGCTTATTATTTTTTGCAGACTGTTAGAGCAATTTCGTAAAAGTAAGCTTGAACTTTGGATTATGTCAAATAGAATTTCCGATATATGTTTACTAATATGTAATTTGTATCTACAAAGCGAGAGTATGTTTTGAAATCCGAAATCTGTTTATCAATTTCATGCCGCGGATTGGAAGTTGATCTGTCAGCACTATCCTTATCTTCAGGGCAGATGTTTTTATTTTATTTCGCTTATAATTCCTTACTAAGTGTAGTATTTCATCTCAATGTACTCCGTCTTTGATATGATTTAAATCAAATTCCTCGTCATTATAATTCGCTTCCGATAGTGAAGAAAGTGACCCAGAGGTTATTGAAAACGAAAACATTTCGATTGACAAATTAGTCGGTATTCACAACACAGCAAATTATAGGACTTGAACAGCGGAACTTTGTAACTAAACAAGAAATTATGTCTGTTTAATAGAATTAAAGAGAAAGTATTATCACATGAAACGAAGCAACTTACATTGAAATAGAATTAAAGAGAAAGTATTATCACATGAAACGAAGCAACTTACATTGAAAGAAATGTTTAATAAAGTAAACAAATAAATATTAAGCTTTTTCTTTTTGTAAATATTGATACCCTTTAGATCATAATTGTTCTTTATTTCATAAATTACGGTTTCATATTTTTAATTTTGTAATTTCTGCATGCCATCTTACCAGATTTAAACTGATGATCTATAATCCGGAAAAATCGATAATCCGGAATCGCCGAAGTCCCGACGAGTCCGGATTAACGACTTTTGACTGTATTAATCTTTAACAAAACTTAAGTACAAATGCCTTGAAATAAAATTCTGTCAAAGAAGACAAAAATGCTGATGATCCAATGATCAACCACTCTGAGTTACTGGGAAGGACATCCTCTGATAAAATGAAATTATTGAAGAATAAACGGAGAAAAGCAAAAGAAATAGAGAGTGACAGAATAAAAAATTCAGCAAAGATTACTTGGCATGTATGGATTCCCATACGTGCAACACGAACATGAGTCAGATTTGATTAAAACTTTCTCCATGAAGACATCTCTTTCCATGCATATAACAAGATGATATGATGATTTCAAATTTCCCTCCTTATTTGATTTTGACAACTTTAAGTATACACCAATTATTGTATTCGTTAGTGATAACACTCATAATACAGAAAACCTTATCTTGCAACCACCTCAATAAAACAAACACTTCTGAGAGTGACTCATACTTCTCAGAACACAATAAATACTGATCCTGAAACTTGCATTTCTTAAGAAAAACTCTCTTACTGAAGACCAAAACTCAAAGAGGATAAAATGAAATATTTATGTAAATTGCCAATTTCGCATAATGGGACCATGCACTGAAGTTGTGATGTATTAGTGAATAGAAGATATGCCACTGTTGGCAAACAGAAAGGCAAGATGTGCATCTTCGGAAGCAAGAAAAATTAGAAAAATATGTCACTAGCCAATTTTATTTTCTTTACAAGTGAAAAATGTCAGAATTAAACTGTTTCATATTCGAATAGAACTTTTCTGAAAATTACTTGATTAGAACTGACTAGCTGCTAAAAAGGCAAACTCAATCAAAAAAAAAAAAAAAAAAAAAAAAAACTTTTGCAATTAAATGACAGAAGTGTGCAGTTAATTTGAAAAACAAAAGTAATACTGATATCAGCCTTTAACCCTTTAATGCGCGCAATATTATTTTTATAATTTTTTTAACTAAAAACTCTAGAAATTGAATATTATGATCCTAGAGACAAATAATATATGAATTTAAAAAAATCTACTCTTGCCCATTGTTCTGTGGGTGGTGGTCGCACTGTGAAACCACCGCGAGTCTAGGACTTTGAAACTTACTG